ACCATTGTTCGCGGTTTCACTGTTGAAGGAACCCGGAGAGTCGTAATAAAAACCGGCAGATGTCAGCTGGCTTTGTTGGGCGTCAAGAGAGTGGGACAACAGAGATTCCAGGGAGGCGCGGTACGGATTGAAGGTGGCGGCATCCGAGATCAACCGGTTGGCCACCGTCACATGACATGAAGAGAACAGTGAGTGCAGAATGTTGTTGACCGGTGCCACACCATCAGCCGTTGTAATCAGTTCCCATTCCCCAGTGCTCTTGCGGACTTTAATACCCACTTCCAGTTCCAGGATCATGTCCGCTAAACTGAGTAGTCCAGATGTGCTGGGTGGAATGAAGAAATTAATGTCGCCGGCCGATCCGTTGTCCGTTAGGATGGTCGTGGGATTGAGCTTTTCGTGCTCAGTGCGCCATCGATCCGTTAATGTGGCCGGTAATGCAAACAGCTGGTTCTCTAGCTGCATTGCCGGCTCCGAGTTTTCCATCATCAGCATGGCCATTTTCAGAAAAAATCGGGGATGTTGGTAGGAGGAATACGTTTAACTCTTTGAACTTTCCGTCGAATACGTCGTTTCTTGCGGATACCTTCGCCTTCTTGGGAAGCAAAACGTTTACCAATGGCTGTTCCCGCGCGCGAGGCTACGTCTTTAATAGCCCCGGTCGCCGCTTCTTGCAGGAGAGGGGTAGCCGCTTCAAGAGCGGCTTTGGCATGCGGTGCAGCCTTCCGTAGTATGGGCTGAGCAAATGCTGATAGCTTGGCGAAAAGGCTCTTTAAAATCTGCGGGAACCCCGATCCATTTTGTAGGGTTCCTCGATACCGGATCAGGGCGCTGCCACCCGTCTGACTGACAAAGACGTTCTCGTATCGCCGGGGATCCGGCACGTACGCCACGAGAGGCATTCTAGTAGAGTCGTTGTGGTCGGAAATGCAGTTTCACCAGGGACTTTCCCGTTTGGAACTTGGCGTCGTCTCCCAGATCGTTGGCAATGGTCAGTTTTATCGTTTCGAAATGTTGGCGTAGTACTGGGACGTAGTGCGGAATGTCGAATCTGGCCTCGACAATTTGATTGACTTCTCCTCTAATAGGTACGGAGCGTAAAAACTGCGCTGCAGTATCGCCAATCAAGCTGTAGTCGGCCACATCACTGTAGACAAACAGGCTTTGATTTCCCAGTAGGGTATTGACCGGTCGCTCCGAAATAAAGCTGGTAAGTTTTGGATTCGGAGGCTTGGCCAGAAATGACAGGTACTGGATACTGACATTCTTTGTTTCAAAAGGAAATGGACCGACCATGCCATTACTGTTACTCTCCATCGGTACATCGGGTTTTAATACGCTATGTTCAAATCCCAGCATTTTTTGTAGGACAATCGACGACGGGGGAAAGACGACGGAAACCCGGTCATTGCCAATATTCAGTCGGACCCGATGATTGGTGGCGGTCAGTAGTTGAACGGTGATAGCTCTGTTCGCAGTCAAAGCGCTCTTGTCGGCGTGCACCGTTTCGTCCACCATGTGCGATCCAACTTTGGGTACCAATGAATTGATGGTCTTCAATAGCAGATCGGCATCTTTGTAATTTCCAGGAGGGATGGTAATTTCGTCGGTATGGACAACTTGGTCCGCCGACTCCAAAAAGTTTGCTTCGTCTTTCTTTAGTCTGAATTCTTTAACGATGTGCACTTCAATCTTCTGCTCGACGGGAAGAGTGAAAAAGGAATTGAGGTACTGTAGTTCAACCAAGGCTATTTCCCATTTTCCCTTCAGGGTAATGGGATGTTTTAGTTTGGTCGTCCAGTTTGAAGGTGTGTTGCTCGGGTCCGTCGCCGCATCGCTCGGCAGCGTCACGTAGAATGGTGCTCCTTCGTACATGATGATGCCTTTATCCAGGAATCGTGCTCAGGTCCGTAACCTAACCAACGAACTAGTACTCTGTCACCACGGCGTCTAATGATACGGTCGATGGTATATTCCTTCTGTTCCGGGCGCGATACTTTGGAAAGCTCGTGTTCATAATAGGTTCCTTGAATAGGATGGTCTTGGTAGTCCTTTAATCGGTATACCGGTACGGTATGTGAAATGACTTTAATGATGTAGAACACTTCCTCCTTAAATCGATACGTATAGCCTTTTTCCACCTTGGTTTTGTGCACGGCTATCCGGACTGCATCACCGACCTTGAATCGAGGTTGCCGGGTTTCCTTGGTTGGATACAATTTGTTGAATACCGCCAAAGAATTGTTCTGGGTGACGTCTATCGGTCGCAATCCATGTGCTCGATGTTTGGAGTGGTTATACGAGTACACCAGATCTTGCAGTTTGTCAATGTACCGGGTCGAGACTCGCGCACGAAATAAGCGAAACATTCGTGTTTTGATGGTACGGATAACGCGTTCTGCCATGGCACATTTGATGTCTTCGTTTTCCGATCTGAAAAAATAAATCTTTCTCTCTTTCAAAAAGGTCTTGACCGTTGCGTTAACGACTTCAGTGCCTTTATCGCACTGCAGCTTTTCCGGCCCACCCAGTTCTTCAAAAGCCTTGGACAAGGCATTTTTGGTTTCGTTGGCTGTTTTGGACTTCATTGGTTGAATGCTCAGCTTTTTGGAGAAGCAATCAATTACAAACAGCAGGTGTTTGTAGCCATCATTTTCTTTGGAATATTTCGATAAATCAGCAAGATCAGCTTGGTACTGCTGACGAAGGTTCGTCACTACGATCCGGTTGCGTGCAAAGCGCCGTCGATTTTCCTTGGTCACAGTGTACGCATCGATCTCTTGCAGAATCTCCTGTGCTTTCCGTCTGTTGGCTCTGGTCTTTAGACTTCTTCGGAACCTTTCCACGCCTCCAAGACCGCCGGGATCGCGCGGGTTGAGGTATCGCTTCATTATTTTTTCTCCATCCGCTTTGTTGCAGCAGGTAGAGACACAGTTGATCTTAAATATACGGCATAACCGTAATACACTGGGGATAAGACCAGCCATTATATCAGAGTGATCCACTGTATTCTGGGTAGGCCCGCTCCTTTTTGGATGGTACGCGAGCGCAGTTTTCTAACACTGCCTTCAATCTGGTCCGCCTTTCTTTTTTTCCCACGTAGGAGAGTAGTGACCGGAAACAAAGGTCTACGAGGTCGCTTACGCGAAGATCCTTGGTTGTCGATGCTTTCAGTCGGTCGTTTTCGACCCTTCTTCGGTGCGGTCGGGGGAAACAATGCTATGCGTGCTGCTTTTGTTGGTCGCGATTCGACACTTTCGTCTTGATGACGTTTGGAACCTTTCTTCGGTAGCGATGCCGGAAACAAAGCAATGCGTGCGGTCTTTAGTTTGTTGCTGTCTTCAGGATCGTCTTCGTGGTCGCGTTTCTGTCCTTTAGAGGGTAAATCCGATGGGAATAAAGGCTGCCGAGGTTGTTTGGTAGCACTAGTTCCTTCTTCGAGATCCTCGGGCCTGCTCCGTTTACGAGAGACGGGTAGTTGTGATGATGAAGGAATTGCCGGTAGTTTTCGAGACGCAAATACTGTTTTCCTTTGTTTCTCTGATGCTATTGGTGGTGGTTGTGCGCTAACATCTGTCGGTAACTCCAACGGATTTTCATCGGGTAAGGCTTTCTGTTTCAAGGCGAGAACCCGTTCAAGTATGCTGCTCAGCTGACTGGCTTTCTCAAATTCACTTATATCGGTTCGTTGCAGGGTTTTTGCCACTAGATCATCTAACGTTATGACGCTGTGGGCTTCCGGTGGCTCCTTGTTGATCTGGAGCTGATCCTGCATCCGGTTCTCCATTACACGCCGTGGTACTATGAAGTATTCATCCATTACCAATAAGAGAAGTTAAAACTCCAGCAATGACAGGTAAGATGGCACCGATGAATCCTCCTTGCTGAAATATTCTTCGTTTCTCTTTGAGCGGGTATCGCCGCAGGGCAATCAGCTTTAATGCTTTCCGATGGCGTTTACATTTTTCTGCTTGTGTGGGTGACAAATTCACGGTATTTTTCACAATGTTGACAGCCACCTCTTCCAAGGCTTTCAGTTGAGTCTTGGTCAGGTAGCTCATCAGTACCTTCCGCTGTTTCGGCTTTAGGTGTTGCAGGGTAATTATAAAGGGAGCTAAAGCTTTCACGCGTTCTGACATTTTGGCAGGCTGTCGGTACGATTGCGGTCCAAATAGATGCGCATCTGTTGATTCGGCAGTACGTGGGAACGAACCCTTAAATAATCGGGACAGTTTGGTCGTAAGTCCAAGACGAGCGGTTGGTAGGCCTCCGTTGTGACTTTGTTGTAGGCGTCCACTAAATGTTTCAGTCCAGTTTGACGAGCCAGTAATGAAATCTGGTTAATGTCCCTTACGTTCTTAAATAGTATCAAGTACTGGGAGTTTAGCGTTATGTCGCGCATAGTTTTTCCCTGTTTGTACAAGTTCTGAAGAAGCATGATGCCGGAGATGTTCTTGTGATGTATACCGCGGGTAAAGAGGTCCGAACAGCGAACGTCGTTACACAAATCCGTAGCCAGATCGTCGATGACAACTAACGTCTGGCCACCGCCGTCGATGAAGTGTACCACTGAAAAAAGGTCATCCAAACCGTACAAGAATTCGACCTGTGAGACGTCTTTTCGTAACTCCTCAAAACCTTTTTGCCACTGACCATAGCAGTACAATATACGATCAGGTGCGTGATCAAATACTACTGAATTATTTCTCAATAACGTAAAAACAAACTGCGTTTTTCCCGACATTGTAGGTCCGCAAACACACATACCAAAAGAAGCGCAAAAGCGCGGGTAATCATTTATTATACCGAACATTTTTTTCAATCCAAAATGATTTAATTCTTTCCAACTTAGCTAGCTTAAATAGACTAATTAAGCAAAAAAAAGTTTGATTTTTTCCAAAATTATTTGACGGCAAAGCGGGCATTCTCTCACTCTTCCGGAACATTCAGCGCAACAAATCGCATGCCCACATGGTGAAAAACAGATTGATACGTTTTTATTAAGACACACTGCATTCTTTTTCCAGCTGACAGTTTTCATCCATTCGTACTTCGTTGATTCGGGCTCTGATGGTGTTCGCCGCTTTCACGAGGTCCTTGATGCGAAAAAAGCGACGGTATCGTTGAACGGCCTTTATCAGATACGTGTAGTGCACTCCCTGTTCCATATCAAACGCCACCAGAAAATCCATTCGGTTCTTTCGCAAACTGCCAGCCCACTTCAGTTTGTCCATATCGTGAAACCGTCGAACTTCTTGAACAAAACGCAAGCCTTTCTTCTCGAGTAAATATGTGCAACGAGGTTCGTACTTGGCGTGTTCGATCCACGGGTCATCATCACGTGTCCACTGTGCCAGTTTGCGGCCACAGCAAAAGCACTGGACCTGGTCCCACATTTCCTCCATGAAAAAGAACCCGGCATTGGCCATATCCATGGGGCGTTGGCTGATGACTTGCCTCGGCCACTTTGCATACGTAGCGAAACGGTCGCGATACTCTTTCATGGCGGGAACGTACACCTCATCATCCGCCACCATAGCCGCGTATGCGCATTCAGGACTGATTCGCCGGTGCTCGAACTTGGGCTGGTCCCCGATCATCCAATTAAAATGGACCATACCGCATAGCACACACTTCACTTCGTCTCCTTCATGAGTGTATATGAATCCGGCTTCCGCAAGAGACTGTGGTGAAATGTACGACAACGGCCAGGTGTCGAATGTCCGCAGACGATCCTCCAAACTCATCTGTCGCTCGGCAGCCTGTGCATAAAAGTCTTTTTAAGGACCACGTTCATACTCGTACTTTATCGGCTTTACAATGGCTAACTTGCAGCATATGATGTGCTTCGGACGAAACGTCGAGCAAAAATGCGAAAAAGTTCTTTTAGTTATTTTGTACGTCGTCTTTTTTATTGTTTTTGCTACGTTTGTTGTTAAGGAAGGTATTGGAAAAATTCTTCAGACTGATCACTGGAATAAAACGCTACGAAATGGCACATCTTGACTTACCGACGTGACGGCGGAACAGAAGCAGGTAGGATGACAATCACGTACAGTCATGTTGAAACGTGCACAATAATTCATTAAAAGTTTTGAAAAAACATTGCGCTACTGATATTTTTACCGATTTTTCACCTGCTTTATATACAATTCTTGTGTAATGGAAACCTGTAATCCCTGCTTGGGATCACTGAATTCAATTACAACTACTCGTACGTATGATCACTGAAAACCGTGATCCCTATTGTAACTAAGGACTTGTACGATCACTGAAACCAATTACATTTCCGGAATTCAGTGATCCCCGTCGGTATATAAATCGATGTTCGCATGGCATCTGTTTTCAGTGTAGCGAAAAACAACTTTGCAACAATAAAAAAATTACAACTGTTTGTCTAGTGGTCTTAGTGCTTTCTTATGACATAAACGACCATGGCTGCAGAATCGAGCGCTGCCAAGGAAGTGGCTTACAGGAATCTGTTCCGCAAGTTAAGTCCACATACACCACAGATGATCTTTGACGGGAAGCAGGTTCCACCAGCCATCCGCAAAGTTCCAGGGCTTGGAAAAGTTAAGTCTTATCGACTGCGGCCTACGATCACTGGAAGGACTGCCACGCCTTCCCAACCTGCGTGTGCTAATGATAGGCGACAATCACCTCGACGACCTCAGCCTGCTGCCCACCTGCTTCCCCAACCTGGAAAAGCTATCGATTGTCGGGAACAAGATTGGTTTTCGGGATGAACTGGAGCAGCTGACTCATCTTACCAAGCTGCGGGCTTTGGACGTAGAGGGTAACGAGATTTGCGAGATTCGCGGACATGACCGCTGGATGGCCGACACGTTTCCTCGTGTCAAGAGCTTCATGATTACAGCGTATGATGTGGACAGTGATGAAGAAGACGACGACGATATTTCATTGTTTCTTAGCGGTAAAATAAAATTTATTATTACTGTATCAACTATTACTTGATAGTAAATGTTTCCAGATGAAAGTATGGACGCCGATGACGAGGAGGAAGACAATGCCTCTGATGGACCCGGAGAGTCAGTCCCAGAGGTCATTCAGATCGACTAGGATCTTCTGTGACGTATCGACCATTCTTTCTTTTTATTTGTTATTCTTTAGCTGATTTTGTCGTTCTTTGATTCGAGGTACAGGTTGGAAACGGAATGCGGAGGCGAAATAATAGATATGTTATGATTTACTTTGAAAAGGTCACCATTTTTTTGTGTTAATGCCAATGTTATCTAACAGCTCATTCTTTTTATCGACAACAATTAAACGCAGCAATGACCAAATCATCTTGCGCATGTAGGTTAGCCCCGGACAGTCAATCACACTAATATATTAACAACAAAATAGAATCACGGTTAAAACTGAACTGCTTTTCAAATGCACTATAGGCCACCATTTTTCCGGCTGTTTTTGCTGTGTGATTTTCATAATTTTCTTAGTTTCTTAAATTTTAGTAGCGAGTAGCATCAGATCTAAAAGTGGTGCAAGTTCGTTTAGCGATTACACTAAGTACTACAATGTACTAAATACTACAAACTGTGAGAAAAAGTTAATTGACAGTAAACAGCTAGCCGTTGCTACGAGACTTTAAATGTAAAGCACACCCAACGTGGGACTTCGTCTTGCAAATTCGACTAAAAAACGCAAACTTTCCAATAATTGACCTTTGAAGTTTCTTTTGAGTTTTTCTTGAATTCACCATGGCACCGAATCTTAGCTGCTACATGAACTCGTCAAGTAACTTGTGCTCTAAAACATTCAGCAATAAGTTCGAAGCATGGGAACATCTTTTCGCCAAAGATCCCACTACAGTCTGTCCAAACGTTCTTGCTGCAGTAGACAGCGCAGTATCCGCAGGAAACGCGACTGCTGCACAAGTTGCAGATAACAGAGACCATTGTATCTTGTTGACGGAATCTTTTAAACCTGTCCTACCATTATATTCGTCGCATATAATGAGGTATTGCGCAGCCTTATTAACGGAACGCACGCGCAAAAGGAGGTCGTATTTTTTGACGTACACGGCATACAGTACCTGAGCTCGTACAAGGCACTACGACGGCTCGGTGATATAACTGGTCAGCCAAAATTGGGGAACGCTGAGGCCTTCAAGAAGATTATTGAAGCAAAGCTCGTTGTAATTCCTTTCTGTCATGACGTGCATGTAAAGCACATGACTTTAGTAGTCGTATCGGGAGGCGGTAAGTTACAGAAACGTAAAGGTCGTTTCCCAAAAGTTTCGTATTTCTGATATTGACTTTCGCTACTCGAACAGTTGTGTATCATTTCAACGGATCTGGTGAATCTTTCACCAACGATTGGTGCAAGTTTGTTGATTGTTTGGAAAAACTAGCAGGGATACGAAACCGTCGGAAATACCGTAAAGAACTGAAACAGTGGCGTAATCCTAAACAAATGATTGTGGAAGATGTGCAGCGTAAGGTACGCCCTTTTGGTGTTCGGTCAAGTTGACCTTTATTATTACGCATGTGAATGACAGGTGGTCACGCTGGAGATGGCGTGCGGGATAATAGCCCTTTACATAGCCGCAGCGACCATTAAAGCCTACTGTGTTGGCGGATTACGGGGTGAGGAATGCGTCGAGGCTGCCCAAGCTGATTTCCTACAGCTGCAGAATGACATGCATAAAGCAGAACGGTGTAGTGCAATCCCGACGCCCAAAGATATGCACCAGCGCTTACTCACAGCTGCCGGATTTGGGGTGTTCCGCAGCCAATGGTCCACCGCTCGCTATGCAGGTATGTTGTACTTTCTCACTGAAAGTATTAAGTGTAAAAGAACAGGTCAGTACATTGATGTGCAATGTCACATATTACACAAGTAAAGTTCTGTACGCGTATCAACTAACTCGTGCCACGTTCAAGCTAACTACGAGTATTATAATCTTTGTTTTCTTTACTAGAATGGGCTGAATTATTGAAATATCCGGCCGGTGAACCACTGGGAATCACGGATTTCGTCGAGTTTGAAGGGCAATGTTTTTTTTAAGCTTGAGTTTTTTGACAACGAGCCTAATTATGAATACTGCACACCTGCGGCTAACGTCCCAAATGGATTATTTCATTTTTGATAGCATTTTTTTATGGTTACTCAAAATATAGCTTAGTCAAATATGCTGGTGAAATACAGTGCGCGAAAAACAAATTGTAAATGCGGTTTAGTCACTTATACCCAGTTACAGTAATTTAATAACTACAGTAGAGTAGTTAACACCAGTACGTACGTACGGTATGCAGTACTACCGATTTGGCTTAAAAAATCAGATGTCCGTTCGGACGTTCTTTCTGCAACAAATCGGAATCTGTCCATTCGGTATATAGTTTCTGGTTAGATAATGAATCCATACTACTGGTCACGACACGTAAAACTCGTAAAACTGAATAACGAAACCAAACGCAGCCTGGAGAATGCAGGTTAAACATGCCAAAGCGAACCGTCTGGCTTGTCAACAACGACTAATCAACGGCCTGATGGTATGGCATTGGTTCCTGTACGAGACGGCCAGGCGGTTGTGTGGGTTGCTACATGCTGGGATACCGTGGCTGTGTTTCATGTGCGGGCCAGCTCGAAGAAAGCCGGTAGCATTGCACTGCTAGCCGAGAACAGCAAGAGTCGCAAGTATAATTTTGTTGAGAATTTAGGCTGTCTATTCTACCCATTGGCGGTCGAGACGCTTGGGAGTTTTGGAGCGGCTTTTGCCGAATTTATCCGTTTCGTTGGCCGGAAGATACGGGAAAAAACCGGGGAATCGCGATCTGCAGCCTTTTTGAGACAGCGTTCAAGTTTAGCAGTAGTTAAAGGAAATGCTGCAGCTGTTTTGGGAACTATGAATGCGCATCCTAAGACGACGAGTACCACTAACCATTTTGGTTGTTTTTTCAACGTTTAAATGAGCCATTTCAATTAGTGTCCAGCGCGCAGGCACTTTTATGTGTGGTGGCTATTGCCTAATAAAATTGATGATTATTGAAATTTGAAAATAAATCAACAACAACAATCGTTATTCAAGAAAATGAATATACATGTAGACCACAAGAGCATCTGTGGCGAAGCCGAAGATGACTCTTGTAAAAATTTAAGCATAAGCTACGCACACAATACGGTAACTTTAGGAAAACGCGATCAATAATGTTACCTTTACGAAGCTCACAGCTATGCGGGACAATACAAGATAGAGTCAAAAGCATAATTAAGATCTTCAACTAAACGGGTAGAAGTAGTTTCAGTGTCACTGCGAGAAGTATGCACAAATTTAATCATAATTGCGTATGATATATTGTTGCACAACGTACATAGACATTCTGAGGCTGAATAAAATAAAGATGCTTTCAGATTATGACCTTTATGGATGCATGACGGTTGTTCGTGGTTGGACATGGGCAGAGCGCGAACCGCCGACCGTGGACGTTGTCGCCGTGGAGTACAATACAACGGGGTTGGCTGATCTTTTTGTGAACTTAGACACAACGTTCCCGCATCTCATACATGTAGACAGCAGTCGGCGTACTTGTTGTCGGTACTCCTTGCTGACAGCCAGATATACGAAGAAGTTCAGCGAATAATTCGCCATCAATGAGACATCAATAATGACCAGTAACATATCCAAGCTGATCCTCGGAACCGTAACAGGCGGCCTAAAATTCTGGGCCAGGAAGAGACCCGCACCTAGCAGACAGGGAACATTTGTGACAACGTAGACGGCGACGGTGCTCCACAGCAAAATATGGTGGGAGAGGGTATGCTTATTGCGAGAGTCACGGGTTTGATTGGAATCCAAAAGAACTCGAGTGGCGCGGTATTCTCGGCGAATGGCGCAAATAAGGATACTGCTGAACAGCAGCAAGAGAAGAAATTTCCCCCAACTGAGAAATGCCTGTGAAATGCCACTCAATTAACATTTACAGAGGCATTCTACAGATACAGATAGATGGCTGCATGCAGGATGCACGTCCCCATAATTTTCAAGATATTCCAGATAATGTTTAACAATTATTAAGCTCAGATTAAATTTTATTAACCCTCCAAGACCACAAAAA